ACTCAAGACCGCTTTTTAGGCTGTACAAGAGGAAATGTGGCACGTATATAAGAGAAGCATCATTATATAAATCTCAGTCTTTTAGTGTGCGTATCTTGGTATCGATCACATTTTTATTTCAAAGGCTTTTCTGATCCAAGATCTTGGATTGTTCAAATCCATGCGGTGGGACCACACTCAAGAAAAAGTCCAGGGTAAGCTTTCCATCTAGAATGATACCTTAACCACCAGTGAAAGAGGCAAGGTCAGTTGTCATTGATTCAAATTACATTCGAAGATAAATTCTTTACTTCTATAAATTCTTCACCTGCTTTATAACGTCTGTTCTAGTAATTAATTTAAGAAATAGTATATTACAATTTAAAGTGTGTGTCAATATAATTTCAATTGGAATTCAGTCCTAGGTTTACTAGGTTTATCATCATCAGTAAACTTAGATAATTTAATTCCCCTCTCTGTACCTTATTTTTTTCCCAATGGTTAGATGAGTGTGATAAAATCAAACAATCTCTAAAATCCTTTATACATAGATAAGTATAGGACTTAACATAAATTATGCTTCAGTCTCAGATGATTTAGGGAGGTCATTTAAAACTGCTGCTATAATATAAATGGTTTTATGTCAGGAATTGGGTCGCATTAAGTTTAGTAAATATTAAGTAAAAGGATGCATTAATATTGGTACTTATGAAATATAAATCAAATCGATGATACCTTAAACAATCTATACATTGTGCTATGCTAACTCATTTGCAGATTTTTTCAATATTTTTCCTTATCTTTCAGCTCCACAAAGATTAGTAACTTGTTTCCTCAATTGGGGCCAATTAGAGGAACAGGATAGGATTAATAAGTAATAAAATAATGTCAGGTAACAAGAGACATAAAAGCATGCACATGTGTCATAATGTCTCTATGAGGGATATTGAAGTCAAGAACACTATTGTACGAAAAGTTTTCCATGAGATAGAACTTGCTGTTAGGAAAGAGATCCAGAATAGTATATGGCTGCCCTTTGTAAATCTCTCAGGAGAGGGACTAAGACAATCTCTTTCCCAGAAGATTCCAAGAGTTGCATTCTTTGAAGTTGTTCTATTGGAAATAATTTGTATAGGCTCATGGAGTTAAATAAACGAGGAAACTTTTTTCTTTAATTACACAAATCCCATTTTAACTAATATATATTCTTTAGCATTGTCTTAGAGAGATCAAGTTTAACCTAAGAACCTGGGTAGACCAGTAGAAACAATCCATCCCATAGAGGCTCTGGTTCATAGAGTTCAGATGTCTGATACCGGTGTTCCTGAAATTCTACCACAAAAATGATCAAGAGTTAGTCTGGCAGATTGTTTATAGATTTTTTTGTCCATTGTCTAATTTGAGTCTTACCATGGGTAGCATTATGTCACAGGGGAGGTTAATAGATGTTAGAAAAATTATGTTAATGTTACATAGCCTGAAGAAGCAGAGCTGTGAGTTGTTCTATCTTTAAATCCTGTGCTGTTTCTCCCAGCAAAGATAGCAAAAAGATCTTAAGTCCTAGACTTTGATTAATTTGATAAACTCCTCAGGAGGAGTCTAGATAAAGTTGAGTTGTCACCACTCAGGGTGAATACAGCAGCGGTCCAAACATCTTTGGGCATCCATGCTTGAACTCTTGAATACATCTGTGCAAGGATATAGAATGTACTCCGTTGCTGCTCCAGTGAAAGGAATATATTTGAGAGGGTGAGTGTGAGCAGTAGATACACAGTCTAAGATTTGGACAAGCATGAGCATGCATATAGATGAGAATCAAGAGGCTAATATAGTAAGGAGGTTAGTGTTCTAAGATGACTCCTATCTAGGTGTCTGTCTCTCCTTCCAATCAGCATTTTCTCTGATAGCTAAGATGGATAATGATAATTATATATTCACTTAAAGTATGTTATGCACGTAAGTGCTTTATATGTAATATCTATTTAATATGTACAACACTCTATATAAATGTACTATTCTTATCCACATTTTACACTTGAGAATACTGAGGCAAAGGGAAGTGAAGTAACTTGCCTAAAGTCATAAAGTTAGTAAATGGTGAAGCAGAAATTTGAACCTAGACAAGTTGGGGTTCCAGGCATCTTCTTTTTTACAACTTCTCTTCCCCAGCTTCCATCGCAGCTACTTTCCTCCTGTGGCCATGATCTTTCTTTATGGCACCCCAATTAATTCAAGATCAATTGCTAACTTTTAAGCTTAACACACAAGACTCTGTAATCTAGGCTTGCCTTCTTTTCAGCCTCATCTTCTGCCACTTTTCTATGTGGATTCTGTGCTGAATCATACTCAACTTGCTGGCACTCCCCAAAGAGGATGGTGTGATGATTTTTACCTTCACATATTCTATTTGCTAGGCCTGCAAAGTTCTTCCTGCCCTGTCTACTCTTTTGTGCCCACACCCTGCAATCCTCCTCCTCATCAGGTTAACTCTAACTCATCTATCAGAATTCCACCCAGTGACAGCATTTGAAAAGGCAATCCTATCTCTCCTGGGCTTCCTTCTTGAGCCCTTTCCCAGAGAACTGTCACAGTTTACATGTGGACCTCCTCCACTTGATTGACAATACTTGCCAAATCAAATAATGACTGAATTAATGATCAGTATCCCATCACTTGTTATTACATCCCCACTGTAAATTTAATGTGAGAAGAGTTGGGCACAGACTCTATGCTGTGATGATCTTGCCAGTTGTAGCTATAGTCTTTGTCTCTAAATAGCATATATAATTAAAAAAAAAACTTTTCATGATTAGAAGAAAAAGAGTCTTTTGATTATTGTAGAAGGTTGAAGGCTTTCAAATGAGAAACATATTTGGTGGCTTTGATGCCATCAGACCTAGGATATGCGTAGTAGTTAGGAAAATAAATCATGAATCCCATTGCCTAGGTTCAAATACCAACTCTGCCAGTCACTAGCTCTATGACCTTGGGCAAGTTAGTTACTCTTTCTGTACTTCAGTTTCCTCATTTCTGAAGTGGGAATAGGAGTGAGATACTACTTTATAAGATCATTATGGGCATTAAATGAGCTATAATATGTAAAACATCTAGAATCAAAGTTGGTATATAGTAAGTACATTATAAGTGTTTTCTATTTACCTAAGCATTTTTTCAACCCTAATGATTTTGCCAACTGGTGATGACTGAGCACAATTTGGCTTTGTTGGTAAGGGGCACAAACTATTCAATGATTTTAGGAATGTGAAACATATTCTCCAATTGAAGGACTTTGCACGATAAGAAAGCAATTGTTTAAATTCAGTTCTTTTTGTGGTGGCAAGTGCCTGTAATCCCAGCTACTCGGGAGGCCGAGGCAGAAGAATCACTTGAACCCGGGAGGTGGAGCTTGTAGTGGGCCAAGATTGCACCACTGCACTCCAGCCTGGGCAACAGAGTGAGACTTCCTTTCCAAAAAATAATAATAACAATAAAATAAAATAAATAATAAATTCAGTTCTTTTATGAGAAATTTATCTATGTATCTATGTTTCTATGTATCTATCTACGTATGTATGTATGTATGTATGTATGTATGTATGTATGTATGTATCTATCTATCTATCTATCTATCTATCTATCTATCTGTCTGTCTGTCTATCTAATCTTTCTATCTACCTATCATTTATTTAAGGATTTGTAAGTTAGGTGTGTTCTGGAATAAGAATACTACAATTATACCAGCCCTTTCACTAAAAATTATATTGGGCAATTTGCTTCTTTAATCTTTAGTGCTCTGCTCTGTAAAATGGAGATAATAAAAATTATGATATTATTGTGAGGATGGAATGAAGTAACATACGCAAAGAGTTTAGCACACGATTCTGCACATGGTAAAATGCTCAGTAAATGTTAGCAACTATTAATGATATTTCTTTAATGGATATGGGCAGATATTATAGCTATTATCTCAGAAATAAAATCATATATGTTTTTAATATTTTCTAGTAGTTACATTATATAGCTTTTAAATAATAACAAAATAGACCAAATTATAAATTGTGCTTACTGGAGAGATTCCACTTGATAGATTCAAATTAAAAGGAAACACCTCATAAATTCAAAACGTGTTCTATAGATCTCATTTGAATTCTGAAACAGTTTTGTGAGGTAAAAAATTTTATCATTCATCTTCTATAGATGAGAAAGCTGAGATTCAGGGAAGATAAATAGATTTATCCAAAGTTATAAAGCTGATGAGGGCACTCAAACTTATACCATTCAGCTTCTGGGCAGTGCTCTTTCTGCTGTCCATGCAGAAAAGAGGTATTCTGAGTAAAGACGGAAAATAGCTTGTAATTTTCATATTTCATAAAAGCCATTTTTATTTCAAGAAACTTTAGATCTTGTCTAATATTAATCTCCTTTAGGAATTTTTTCCTGATTATTTTTAAGCATTATTTTCTCTGTATGATGTAAGCATTCCTATTACAGTTTATAAAATGGCTTCAGACACTTATTTTTAAACTATCATTTATAACATCTGTATGATAAATTTCATTCCTAATTTTTATCTATGATAACAAGGACAGAGAGTTATCTGGGTTTTTTTCAAGGCAAAGGGATTGAGCATGACAGGGACCTGCAAAGGGATTGAGGATGATACGGAACTCAATAACTTTTAAATGTTTCAACTCTTCAGAGCAACATAGAAAAAAGTATTTCTCTGTATAAGTTGATCACTTCTCATGTATTCCTTATTGGCAAGCAAAATGGAATTTTCAACCTGCAGATCAAGGTTTATGATTCAGACTTCCTCAATGTTGATTTATAAGCACCAAAAATGACTTAATTTTTAATTGAATTGAGACTTTCAATCTAATTGAGAAATTGGAATCTGAGTCTTCCTCTCTTGATTAAATAAAATGTTACTTTTCTATAGGTGAGTAGTATATATTATCTTTGAAGGATTCTGAAATTTTATACATCAGATCTTATACTCTGACTTCATGCTTTTATTTTGCCTCAAAAAATTAATTACTTAATTAAATAAACAAAGTTTTCACTCCAAAGCAAATTTCTGACAAGAGAAGTTGGAGGTGGGGAGAGAGAGCACTGATTAGGGAAAAACATTAAACTCAATAAAAAAGTCTCAGATTCTCTAGGTTCTTGTATGGAGAAAAGGAACTATAAGACTAATTATGGAAGAAATTCAAATGTGAGTCAATACTGTGGAAATAAAGCTAATAATAAGAAAAATATTCATGAACTATGCTCAAGAAATATGAAGAACTTTCCCTACCATATTTAACATCGTGTAGGTATTTTCACAAGACTCTTACTGTTAGGCTTTACCACGCTTACAATGATTTATAACATATATTTATTTTTGCAGAGAACCAGAGTCACTCCACCAGTCCTGCCTGGGGCCCCATGAAAGTGGCCAACAATGTCACTGAGTTTATATTCCTGGGACTTTCCCAAGATTCTGGAATGCAATTGATGTTCTTTGTTTTATTTTTCCTCTTCTACGTTGTGATCGTGGTGGGAAATTTGCTCATTTTGCTTATGGTCTTTTCTGACTCCCGACTGCACACACCCATGTATTTCTTCCTCAGTAACCTGTCTTTTGTGGATATTGCCTATTCCTCAGCCACAGCACCCAAGATGATTGCAGACTTTATTTCTGAGAAAAAGACTATTTCCTACTGGGGCTGTATAACTCAGATGTTTACCTTCCACTTTTTTGGTTGTGCTGAGATTTTTGTTTTGACCGTCATGGCTTTTGATCGTTATGCTGCTATCTGCCAACCCCTCCGTTACACTGTCATCATGAGTGCTAATGCTTGTACTGTGCTGGCATCACTGTCCTGGTTGGGGGCCCTGGGTCATTCCTTTGTTCAGACCCTCCTGACCTTCCAGCTGCCCTTCTGTAATGCTCAGGTTATAGACCATTACTTTTGTGATGTCCACCCAGTCCTAAAACTTGCCTGTGCTGATACAACTCTGGTAAATATGTTGGTAGTTGCCAACAGTGGTCTCATCTCCCTGGGGTGTTTCCTCATTCTTTTGGCCTCCTACACAGTCATTCTGTTTAGTCTTCGAAAACAGTCTGCAGAGAGCCGACGTAAAGCTCTCTCTACCTGTGGATCTCATCTGACTGTAGTAACTTTCTTCTTTGTTCCATGTATCTTTATTTATCTCCGTCCATCCACTACTTTCCCATTGGATAAAGCTGTGTCTGTGTTCTATACTACCATCACCCCAATGCTGAACCCACTCATCTATACGCTGCGGAATGAGGATGTAAAGAATGCCATGAGGCGCCTATGGAGTAGCAAGATCTCCTTGAAGGAAAAGCAGAGAGGATAGTTTGTCAGAATTGCAAAATCAGAGAATTAGTGGATACCTTCAATGATCCCTAATTTATTAATAATTAAAAAAAATTGTTCCTAAATGCAGCTTTTATGTTTTGTCTAACAGGAAATAATTTGAGGCTATTTTAGACAGGCTAAACTTAAACCTTTCCATGCTTGGCAAGGTTTATCCTCTCTTACTTCTAGAGTAAAAGAATTAACGCTGCTACTCAATAGCTCATTTAACCTCGTTAGATCCCTTCTATCCACATCAAACTCTCTTAAGCTACAAATCAATAATTTAGAACGGGGTTATAAGAGAAAGATATTCCTGGTCATATCTTCATACCAGATCATGTCTCTTCGAAAAAGAAGTCTAATTTACCAGAAGCTGCACTGTTGTTCCCTCCTTCTTTCCTTCCTTACTTCATTTTCTTTTTCTTCCTTTTCTAGTATTTTCCTATAAATATTGCAAAATCTAGTTGGGGAAACAGATTTGCAAGGAGATAATTATAATGCAATACAACAAATGCAGACATAGAAATATATACTTCCTACAATCAATAAATTGCCTGAAGGATGGTTTCTGTACAGGAAAGAAAATATAACTTTACATATTTTGAGGTGGACAGCAATTTCTTTAAAGACCCTCTTGGAAAATCTGAATACTCTTCTACTATATTACTATAATACTATTTTTACTGAAAGAAATCTTACTCTTTTTTGGCAATAAATACACAGACTAGATTAAAGCAACTAAAATGAGTTGATATTTGTACTATTGAAATGACTAAGGAGATGTAATTCTGTTATAAATTTTTAGTTGAACTTGTCTTCAGTTCTTTAAAAGAACAAAATGGAATAAACACATTTTCTTTTTTGTGGTATTCTTAGTAAAGTTGAAAAACAGATAAGTATTCTCAGTATTCCGGGAAAGGCATTTTTCTCCTGAGAAATTTTCTTAGTTCTTATCTCATGACTCATATTGTTCAAGAATTCTGCCCTGATTATTTTTATTCAACATTTATTTTCTATATGCCTTAAGCAATCCTGTATATAATTTATAAAATATCACTTACTTTTTTCTCTTTTTTAATGGATTTTTAGCTGGTATCCACCACTTATGAAGAATATAAGTGATGTATATTCTTTTCTACTCTCCATGTATGGAACAGAGGGGCTTGCACAGTAGGTACTTGTCAGAATCTGTTGATTATAACTCTAATTTCTAATTTTTTTCCTTAGTAATAGGGACCTGACATTATTTATGGTGGTCCAATTAAAATATTGCATTGACTTGCCTCAGATTCTTTTAAACTTCAATTCAATAATTTAGAATGACCTTATAAGAAAAAGATATTCCTTTTGAAGCCCAGTGTGGACAATCTGATATTAATAGTAGTTGGTTGGTGGCACTTTTGAAAAGTCTTTAAAATGGTTTGTCTACTCCAGCCGTCTCATACATGATCACCATGAACATTTTGATGATTAAAATTTCCTTATAGTTACTGCATTGCCTTATAGTTATTTTCATATTACTTTCCCTTTGCAAAAGGGTAATTCTATCCTTTTTTTAACTCCTGATTTTTTAAGATAAACAACAAACACACAAATTATATTTAAAATGATAGAATACATTAGGTTTCCTTTTTCCTCCTAAGAGCGAAGTATTATAATAACAATAACAATGACAACAACAACACTTGCAGTGAGAAAAAAATGGCTTAGACCCACAGGAACAAAACAGGACAGGAGTTAGATGCCAAGACATTTCAACAAAAGTTTGGAAAATGTAAGACAAAAAAGTAGTAACTGATTTGACAGCATCAGGAAGGCTAAGTCTAAATTACCAACAGAGGAATAGTGAGGAAAAGGGCAGAGATTCTCTTCCTGGAATCCCTATGATGATTGGGATGCCAGGATGCCAGGTCGGGGGAGATGAGGTTCAGGGCTGCTAATGAAGGTTAAGAGAAAGGAACAGTTCAATCTTCCATCCTCTCTTTCTGCTCCCAGATGCCATCGGTGGCATATGAGTCACAGACAGAATATTGGCACCTTTGCTTAAGAAAATGAATGTTAATGTCACATCTGCCTTTGGAGATTGCAAAAGAAATGGCTACCTTTCTACTGGAACCCTAACCAGAAGCCTACCAATAAATTAAACATTTACATAAGGGTTTTGAAAAAAGAAAAAAGTCAGTCTTAAAAAAAACCAAAAGGAAACTGGTAGAATTAGAGGTAATTCAGGGAAAAAAAAAACTTTAAAAAGCTGTATCTTCTCATCAATGAAAGAAAATATTTGTAATCTTTAAATAAGAATACGATGCATTGAAAAAATATTGAAAAACTTATTTTTGGAAAGTAAATAAAATCAAAAAGAACAATAAACAAAATTAAAATAAATTAGTACGGCATTATAAGAAAACAAGTAGTCAAAGAAGTCATAAAAGTACAGTCTCTATGAAAGTAGAGTAAAAATGTCAAAGAAATAGAAAATAGGAAAGATAAAAACAAGAAACATAAGAAGTCAAGTTGGGGGCAAACCATTCAACTCACACATATTCCAGGAGGACAAACAGAAGGATGGATTTAAAAGAAACAATGAAAATGAATTTCTGAGAACAGAAAAGCTTAATTTTCTCAATACGAAAGATTTACTGAATGCCCAGCACAAGATTTAAAAAAATCCCAAGGCACATTACTATGAAATTTTATCATCTTAATGATTGAAAATACTGTAAAATTATTAAGAAAAAACCACATAGCTCACAAATGAGCAGAAATTAAAATGGCATGAGTATGCTCTGTAGCAAACTCATCCTTAGGATACAATGGAAAAGTTCGTCAAACTGATTTTCATCCTAGAATTCTATATAGAATAAATCTATCAGGAAGATAGAATAAAGCTTTAGTCACTCAAAAATTTATAAAGTTTACTTCACAAGTATTCTTTGTTTCTGAAAGCATGGGATAATGTGTCCCAGCAAAACAAGAGGAAGAAATGAGATCAATAAATTAATATATGCAATGCAGGGTGGCTAAAGCTATTTTTAAAAAGATCCCAATCTCTTTTCTTTTTCCTTTATCTTTCTTCATGTGAGTCAGGTAATGTGCACGTCATAAGGTTTGAGGGAGATACATCTCATGCAGGAGTGCAAAAACTCAGTCATCATGCTTATGAACCACAAAGGGATCAAAGGCACTCTTAAGATGACAGCTGTACAGTAGGCATAGGAGGCAACATAAATGGATGAAAGCAGAAGATGGAAGCCCCCCAGGTTCTTAAAACAGAAAGGAGAGGGTGAAAATTTATATTATCTAATATATTGAAGCATCTTAGTTGTAAAGGTACAGTCAGTAGTTTGAAACAAGTTTATACACTCAAGGAAGGATACATTTGTGGAAAATTGTATCATTTAGAGTTCCATCAGGAAGTTAATGACACACTTAATATAGGATAATAAAGATTTATTTAAAGAGATGCTGTCTGTGAGTTTATAGGCATAGAGTACCACACAGGCCAGTGCTATAATCAGAGGTAAGATGCGATGGAGCTGTTTAAACCATTGTGCCTGAAGGGACTGAGAGAGGGAGGAAATACAGAAACCCCCAGAAGAGAGATTTATGATAGCCATTTGAAAGGAGGAATGACCTTTAGTGGGAGGTCAACCAGCATGTGGCCACATGGTCTAGCTTATTCTCCTTCATACCCCTTTCCCAGTTTTATTGAAGTATAATTGACAAATAAGAATTGTACATATTTAAGTGTGCAACTTGATGTTTTGAAATATGTATACACTGTGAAGTGATGATCACATTTAAGATAGTTAACACATCCCTTACCTCACAGGGTTACCTTTTTGTGTGTATGGTGTGAACCCTTAAGATCTACTCCCTTAGTACATTTCAGTTGTCCAATACAGTATTGCATTGTAATACAGACACCATGTTGTGCATTAACTCTCCATTAAAAGAAACAATGAAATTCATTTTGCATAACTGAGACTTTGTAAACTTTAATCAATATTTCCTCATTTCTCCCTTTCCTTTCCACCCCATGGCAATCACCATTTCCACCTCCAGTTTGAGTATTTTAGATTCCACATATAAGTGAGATCATGCAGTATTTGTCCTTCTGTATCTTGCTTTTTAAAGGCTGAATAATATCCATTGCATATATATACTACAATTTTTTCAGGCTTCATTGAGGTATGATTTACAAATAAAATTTGCATGTATTTAGGGCATATGCATACTTATGAAATGATTACCACAACCAAATTAATTAACATATTCATCATGTTAAATGATTATCATTTGTGTATAATGTGTGTATGTATGTGTGTTAACACTTGAAATCTACTTTTTTTTTTTTTTTTGAGACGGAGTCTCGCTCTGTCGCCCAGGCTGGAGGGCAGTGGCACCATCTCGGCTCACTGCAAGCTCCGCCTCCCGGGTTCACATCATTCTCCTGCCTCAGCCTTCCGAGTAGCTGGGACTACAGGCGCCCACCACCATGCCCGGCTAATTTTTTTTTTTGTATTTTTAGTAGAGACGGGGTTTCACCATGTTAGCCAGGATGGTCTCGATTTCCTGACCTTGTGATCCACCCGCCTCGGCCTCCCAAAGTGCTGGGATTACATGTGTGAACCACCGTGCTCGGCGGAGATCTACTTTCTTAGCAAATTTGAAGCTACTGTACACTGGGTCTCCAGTACTTACTCATCTTGCAGCTGAAGGTGTGTACCCTTTGACCAACACCTTCTTTTTCCTGGCATTTCCTAGCCCCTGCTAACCACCACTCTACTCTTCATTGCTATGAGTTTGATTTTTTTAAAGATTCCACCTATATGCGATATCATATAGTAGTAGTTGTCGTTATGCGTCTGGCTTATTGCACTTAGCATAATGTCCTCCAGGTTTATCCATGTTGTAGCAAATGGCAGGATTTCCTTCTTTTTAAGGCTGAATAATCCATTATGTGTATTTGTACCACATTTAAAAAATCTATGCATCTGTAGATGAACACTTAAGTTGTTTTTATATCTTGGCTAGTGTTATAATACTGCAGAGAATTTGAGAGTGCAGATATGTATTTAAGATAGTGGTTTTATTTCTTTTGCATACACACCCAGAAGTGGGATTGCTGTATCATATGGGAGGTTTATTATTATTTTTTTTGAGGAGCCTACATACTGCCTTCAATAATGGTTGTACTAATTTATATCTCCACCAAAAGTTTACAAGGGCTTTGTATTAGTCTGTTCTCACAGTGCTAATAAAGACATATCTGAGACTGGGAAATTTATAAAGGAAAGAGGTTTAATTGACCTATATTTCAGCATGGCTGGGAAGGCCTCAGGAAACTTACAGTCACAGTCATGGTGGAAGAGGAAGCAAACATGTCTTTCTTCACGTGGTGGCAAGAGAGAGAAGATTGAG